AGCACAATTGCAAAAATTAAAGAGGCCCTGAACTTCATGAGGAATCAACAATTTGAGGTACATTGTTAATTATTTATTACATTCTATCCTTTTGCTTTTACAAAAACAAATGCAGTTTTATAATTTTTTCTCTTTCTTATTTAACAGGTCCCTTTCATAGCCTTTTATAGGAAAGAGTATGTAGAACCAGAGTTAAACATCAATGACCTGTGGAAGGTGTGGCAATGGGATGAAAAGGTAAAGGTTTTGAAATCTGTATCTTCTTCATTTTTGTAATGGACTGTGCCAACTAAATAACAAACACAATTTGTCCTCTATCCCTCAGTGGACTCAACTGAGGACCAGGAAACAGAACTTGACCCGTCTGTTTCAAAAGATGCAGTCCTACCAGTTTGAACAGATCTCTGCTGATCCTGACAAACCTTTGGCTGACGGCATCCGTCCTTTGGACACTGCTGATATGGAGAGGTATGTTTTCAATGCACTCGAAGAGTGTTTGTAACGTGATTTTTGATTGACATAGGTGATTATTAATGGTCTTTGCCTTTTTAAAAACATCACTTTCTACAGGTTAAAAGATGTGCAGACTCTAGAAGAGCTGGGTGATGTGTATAATCACTTCCTGCTTTACTATGGGCGTGATATCCCTAAAATGCAAAATGCTGCGAAGACCAACAAAAAGAAGCTTAAGAAGATTAAAGAGGTTTCAGAAGATGGTAAGATGGGTGTGACTGATTTATGAACTCATCTGATGATACTGTAATTTTGACACAAGCCTAGTGCGCTGTTAGGTGTAACAGTGTGCTCTATGATTGGCATTGGTCTAGGTGAAGAAGAGGAATTGGAGGTAGAGGAGGAAGAGGAACAGAAAGGACCTGACCTCAAGTTGGCATCTCGTAGAGATATGTACAGCATTTGTCAGAGTGTAGGACTTGGTGAGTCCCATGTTTTATTTTATTTTTTTGATGGATCAATGATGGATCTTAGTGTATTATTGCTTACTGTGTATATTTTCCCCGCAGTGTTCACATTCTTTGCACAGTGTTTATATTTCACCTGCAGTTTACACTGTTTTCCATTTTGATCATACTTAATTAAAAGTTGAAATATTCTTCATATGTCTATCTCAGTGGTTAATCTTTGTACTGGTAATTAACTGTGTCTTTATTGTGTAATACACAATAAAGTGCACCAAATCTACATACTAAAAAAAGGTGTGTAAGTCTCTTAGTAAGTACTAGAATTTTGAAACTATTTCTGCTGTTGTATATGTTCCCGCACCATATAACTCCCATGTGCTTCAACTGTTCATCTTGAACTTAACATGATTCTTTCTTGCAGATGGCTTGGCCAAAAAGTTTGGATTGACTCCAGAACAGTTTGGAGAAAATCTGAGAGACAGCTACCAGCGTCACGAGACTGAGCAGTTCCCTGCTGAGCCAGTGGAACTGGCCAAAGATTATGTGTGTAGCCAGTTCTCCACTCCTGAGGCTGTACTGGAAGGAACCAGGTACATGGTGGCCATGCAGATCGCCCGTGAACCGTTGGTTAGACACGTTCTCCGACAGACCTTCCAGGAAAGAGCTAAGATCAACATCAAGCCCACAAAGAAAGGCAAAAAGGTGGGTCACGGTTTGACTGCGGCAAACTCCTGTATAACTATGTTCATTTTGAGCCATTCTAACCAGATTTTGATCAATTGTTTTCTTTCTGTAGGAGGTAGATGAAGCTCATTATGCCTATTCCTTCAAGTACCTTAAGAACAAACCTGTGAAAGAGCTGAACGGAGATCAGTTTTTAAAGATGTGCCTGGCAGAGGATGAGGGGCTGCTTACCATTGACATCTGTATAGACCTCATAGGAGTCAAAGGGTAAATACTATATATGTAATACTGACCACCTACAAAGATAGTAAAATCTGTTTTTTGTGTTAGGTTGCCTAATGTGATTGGACCAAACACAGGACATGAATACAGGCAGAAATTCTATCACTTTTGAGACATTGAAAAACAAGATAGACTTTAACAAAAGGGTGTTCATAAATGCCCGAGATGTGACTGTCATTCTGGTAATTCTCTGCCTCTCCCTGTCTTTTTGCTTCTCTCCTCAGGTATGGGGACCAGACGTACTTTGATGAGATCAAGCAATTCTATTACAGGGATGAGTTCAGTCATCAGGTGCAGGAGTGGAACAAGCAAAGAACCTTAGCTATAGAGAGAGCTCTCACCCAATTCCTCTACCCTCAAATGGCTAAGGAGCTTAAGATCAAGCTTGTCACTGAGGCCAAAGATAGCATTACCAGGGTAATTTGTGATTTTACTATGCTGTATGCACTTCTATGTTGATGCATAAATGTAAAAGTATAACAGTATTGTTTTTATGGTTTATGCTGCATAATAATTTTTTTGAAAAGTCCTTCTGAATGATTTTTCTTCTTGCAGTCGTGCTGCCGTCGGTTGTACAATTGGCTTAAAGTGGCTCCTTACAGACCAGATCAACAAGTTGAGGAAGATGATGATCTGATGGATGAGAATCAGGGCAAAGGCATTAGAGTACTAGGTGTAGCCTATGCACCCAGCAGGTAAGGACCCCCCGTCCTCCTTTCTTTGGTGAACCAAATTTCAAATATAGAAAAGACACTGTTTTGTACATTTTACCTTCTTGTTTATTCTGAGAGATTGTTACACAAACTGTTTTCTTTGTTCTAACAGAGATACACCAGTATTCTGTGCTCTGATCAACGGGGAAGGAGAGGTGATCGACTTTTTGCGTCTACCTTACTTCATGAAAAGGAGAAATGCCTTCAGGGAGGATGAGCGAGAAAAGAAGGTAGAAGAGAACTTAACTGTGTTAAGTTTGGTGCCACACAAAAATATCCTTTTAGAACATTGTTCAACATGAAAAACACACATCATTCTTGTGTGTGACATTCCCAGGCTGCTGATATTGAAAATCTCAAGAAGTTTCTGTCCAGCAAAAAGCCTCATGTGGTTGCCGTTGCTGGAGAAAACAGGTAAGCAGTAGTTTAGCAGAAAAAAACTGTTTATTTGGAATTTAAGAAACAGGTATTTGAGAGTCAACGTGTAAATGATCAAATGTTCTGTCTAAACGCAGAGATGCGCAAATGATTATGGAGGACATCAAGAGGACCATCAGTGAACTTGAACAGGAGTCCTCTCTGCCTGCTGTTGGAGTGGAGCTTGTTGACAATGAATTGGCTACGCTGTATATGAACAGCAAGAAATCTGAGGTAAAAACTACAAAAACACACAGTCAATGTATATGGTATTTGACCTCAGCATTTCCTTGGCTAAATCCAAAGAAGTTTGGTGTATATGTGAACTTTTTGTTTGTCTTAAGGTGGATTTTAGGGATTACCCTCCCCTGCTACGACAGGCTGTGTCCATAGCCAGGAAGATCCAGGATCCCCTGGTGGAGTACGCTCAGGTGTGCGGCACGGATGAAGACATTCTGTGCCTGAAACTGCACCCTTTACAGGTGAGAGACAAACCAAAGACATGGCATCACTTTGTGTTGCCTCAATAACTACATACATCATATGTTTTTATAGTGTGCTTGTATAATCAAACCTCAGAGAGCTGGTAATGAAACCAAAATAACTGCACATCTACTGAATCTTTGTCCATCAACATTTCTTTTCTGTTCTCAGGAACATGTGGTTAAGGAAGATATGCTGTCTGCTCTCTACTGTGAATTCATCAACCGTGTCAATGAGGTTGGAGTGGACGTAAACAGAGCCATAGCCCATTCTCATACTCAGAGCCTGGTCCAGTACGTCTGTGGTTTGGGGCCAAGGAAAGGGTCCCACCTCCTTAAGGTCTGAACCTCCTCTGTTACTGTACATTCATCTGAGAGCCAGATCTTCAGACTCAACAACTGATGTGAAAATTGTCTTTATTTAGATTCTGAAGCAGAACAACACACGTCTGGAAAACAGGACTCAGCTGGTGACAATGTGTCACATGGGCCCAAAGGTTTTTATCAATTGCGCTGGTTTCATTAAGATTGATACTGCATCACTCGGAGACAGGTTGGTACAAAAGTACTGATTGTTTTTCATTATTGCCGCATCCACCAATCACACACAAAGCTTTAATTTTGAAATCTGAATTGTTTTGAATGTGTTTTCCCCCTTAAACAGCACAGACTCCTATATTGAAGTTCTGGATGGCTCTCGCGTCCACCCTGAGACATATGAGTGGGCTCGCAAGATGGCTGTGGATGCACTTGAGTATGATGAATCAGCAGAGGATGCTAATCCAGCCGGAGCTTTGGAGGAAATCTTGGAAAATCCAGAACGTCTCAAAGATCTGGACCTGGATGCCTTTGCTGAAGAGTTGGAGAGACAGGTTTGTACAAGCTAAATTGACTACAAGGAGCCAAAATAAACCAATGCTGTTAAACACACTTTAACCTCACAAACTTGTTTTGGTTTTGCTCTTTAGGGCTATGGTAACAAGGGAATTACTCTGTATGACATCCGTGCAGAGTTGAGCTGCAGGTACAAAGATCTGAGAGTTCCCTACAGAGTCCCCAACACTGAAGAGGTGTTTAATCTGCTCACCAAGGAAACGCCAGAGACATTTTATATTGGTACTGGTCACTGCACTAAATTACAGACAAGTAACATGGACTCGTTCGGAGGAAAAGCTGCACATTTCTCATTGATGACTATGCTGCTTATTCTTTCTTTTCTAACAGGTAAACTCATCACGAGCATTGTAACTGGTATTGCTCACCGGCGGCCACAGGGTGAAAGCTATGACCAGGCTATACGTAATGACAACACAGGTCTGTGGCAGTGTCCTTTCTGCCAACAGGACAACTTCCCTGAGCTCAGTGAGGTAATATACATATGATATTTAATTCAACTGTAATAAAGGCTACCAACTGATGCTCTGACCACTAAAACAACATTCCTCTTCTACAGGTGTGGAATCACTTTGACAGTGGTTCCTGTCCTGGTCAAGCCATTGGTGTGCGCTCCAGATTAGATAATGGTGTCCAGGGATTTATTCCTACCAAATTTCTCAGCGACAAAGTTGTTAAGCACCCTGAGGAAAGAGTCAAGGTTAGGGTGCTCCCGTAAATCTCATACTGTTTTAGACTTTGTTAATTATATCTTCAAATGTTACCTTTATGTTTTTTAAGGTGCTACTAGTTTTTTTTATTTGTTATGCCACCACACCTGTGTGAAACTGATTGTTCCTCCTCCATCTGTCACATCAGGTGGGCATGACCGTCCACTGCCGCATCATGAAAATAGACATCGAAAAATTCAGTGTGGACCTCACGTGTCGCACCTCAGACTTGATGGACAAGGCCAACGAGTGGAAGCTTCCGAAGGACAGTTACTATGACTTTGACACAGAGGCTGAAGACCAAAAACAGGAGGAGGAGCTCAAAAAGAAGCAACAGAGAACACGTCAGTAGAACTAAAATATTTCAAATGTGGTACTCGGTCGCTATGTGAAGAAATCTTTATCTTATTAAATATATACATATATACATACAAATGGGTATTAACATTTTATGTGCATCATCTGCTTGGTTGCAGCTTATATAAAGCGTGTGATTGCCCACCCCAACTTCCACAACATCAGTTTTAACCAGGCAGAGAAGATGATGGAAACTCTGGACCAGGGAGACTTGATCATCAGACCCAGCAGCAAAGGAGAGAACCATCTCACTGTCACATGGAAGGTACACAGTGAAGTGATGAACACACAGAAGAAATAATAATACAAATTTAAAGTATCAAGAGTAGTCATCAATTAATTTTGTATTTGATTAATCCACTGATTGTTTTCTTCCATGCAATTAAATGATTATGTTGAATATGTGGGAAGAAATGTAGAAATGTGAAATAGATGTCGAACAGTAACAGTCAGCTTACGCTTATTTTGAAACCAGCAAAAACAAGATCCACAAAAAGTATAAAAAATTAAAAACCTGTATATAAGCATCCGTGTGAAATACAACAGACAACATTTAGTGACAATGGAATTAATAAACGTAATCCATGTTCTAATCTTCAACCTTTAATGCAGAAGTACATTTTTGTCTAACTGTTGATGTTTTGCATAGGTGGGTGATGGTATTTACCAGCACGTTGATGTGAGAGAAGAAGGCAAAGAAAATGCCTTCAGTTTAGGACACACTCTCTGGATCAACAATGAGGTAAGAACATGTTTTTGATCTGCATTTCTGTTTGCCTCTGGGACAAAGCTGCAGCGGTGAAACCATCATGTACTGAACCTTCTGTAGGAATTTGAAGATCTGGATGAAATCATTGCTCGCTATATTCAGCCAATGGCATCGTTTGCCAGAGATCTGCTCGGGCACAAGTACTTCCAGGAGTGCAACGGGGGAAATAAGGAGGTGTTTATTGTCTTTTCTTTCTTACTGTAGGAAAGTTTACTTGTTGACTTCTTTTTAACTTTGCTCATTTCTACGACTATTGTTAGTCATAATATTTGTTCTCACTTCTTTAAAGAAAATGGAGGAGTTATTGATCAGAACAAAGAGGGAGAAGCCCACTTTTATTCCTTATTTTATTTCGGCTTGCAAGGAACTACCCGGAAAGTTCATTCTGGGCTACCAACCTCGTGGAAAACCAAGGTACAGTCAAGTGTTATGACTCCGTTTCATGCTTACTACCATTTCTGTTACTATTAAAAATAAACAGAATTATTTAATTTCCTAAAAACAACAATTTCCTGTAGTTTAATTTCTCTGAGCTGTGTTGATTTGCAGGAGTTGTAATGTACTCCACTGTCTCAGTGGGATATGTTACTTGTTTGAGTCATGTCCAAGTTGTCCTCTGTGTGTTGTTTTTCACACTCACGTTTTACTGAAACTGCCTGGTTTTTTTCTGACAGGAGATTTGTGTCTAGGATGAATGACGAGGATGTCACTTTTGTGTTTATTCTAGGGTTGAGTACGTGACCATTACACCAGATGGTTTCCGTTACCGCTCACAGATATTTTCTACAGTAAACGGACTGTTCCGCTGGTTCAAAGACCATTATCAAGAACCTGTACCTGGTGAATCACTTTGTAGATCACCTGTAGTTTATTGAATTACGGTTGTAATACTTTTAGATTTTTAACAAAGTATTCTCCCCATTCAAAGGTGTTACACCCAGCAACAGCAGCAGGACGAGGACACCGGCGTCCCTGAACGCCACACCAGCTAACATCAACATTGCAGGTGACTCTCACGTACACATCTACACCGAGCACAACACTCTGATTTGTTGGTGGCACTGACGTTCTCTGACTTCTTCTTCTTAGACTTGACACGAGCTGTGAATTCACTACCACGCAACGTGACGTCGCAGATGTTTAGTGCCATCGCTGCAGTAACGGGCCAGGGCCAGAATGCTAGCACCACACCTGCACAGTGGGGTTCAAGCCAGTATGGCTACAGTGGGAGCACAGGAGGAGGAGGCAGCTCCTCAGCTTATCATGTGAGTGGAGCTTCCTATGTTTCATTTAAGTTTTATTTTAAAATGGCTAAGTTACTTATTTGAAGCTAATGAATGAACGTGCTGTTGTGATATGTTTCCCAAACCTTTCTGTACTCAGGTAACATCCACTTAGGCTCAGGGTTAATAGTATTGTAGAAAGATCATATCATAAAGATGTGAATTCTACTTCCTAAGACCCACTGTAGGTTTTGTTTTTAATAATTCAGAGTCTGAAGCATTATCATTTTCTTTTCTATTTTGTCTCTGCAGGTGTTTGCCACCCCACAGCAGCCAATGGCAACCCCCATGATGACCCCCAGCTACTCCTACACCACACCCAGTCAACAAGCCCTGGGCACACCCCAGTATCCCAGCTCCACACCTCAGTCCTCCCACTCTCACACACACGCCCACCCGCACGTACCACACCACAGCCATCACGGCCATCACAGCAGTCACCACGGACACTCGTCTGGCACGCCGTCATCAACCTCGTCCAGAGGACGAACACCGCAGCAGCAACAGCAACAGCAGCCAAAGTAAGTGCAGGACCAAAGTGTACCACAAAGTGTGACAAAACTTCATCCTCTTTTCCTTCATTACTCTGGATACAACCCAGAGATTAGGTGTTCCTTTACGACTGCCGTCATTTCCCAAGTCATAGACTGAAATGCTCATTTGATATTAAGGATTTCAAAGTGTGCCAAAACATCCCTTCACTATTAAACTAGCAATTCAGCAACCTGAATTGTAAATACAAAGCAAAACTTCTTTTTTTAATTAGAACTCACCGCCCAACTATGATGCAGAATTCTAGTCAGAACAGACAATATTTTCTATCCTTTTACCGTCTAATTCTGCGGCCTCTGGTCCTTCCCTGTCCATTTCGAATGTTTTTGGGGTTGCAACACAATCAGGATCCGTTTGAATCATCTCTACATGCCGATATGCCTTGCAATTATGCCAATAGATTGACTAATTTGATATTTTTAGTTATTTTTAGTAAACCAGATGTGTGTTCAATTAAAAACTATGTACCGATTTTACTATTTTAGTGACAACTTTTCTGCCACAAGATGGTGCCATTATCTCTTTTTGTACCCACCGTGAACTAACACCTCCCACTCTTCCCTCCATCCCCACAGGCCCAGTGGCAGCAGTTCCTCTGCAGTCGACTGGGGCAAGATGGCGGAGCAGTGGCTGAAGGAGAAAGAAGCAGAGGGTAGGAAAAAAACCCAGAGGATGACTCCGCGACCGTCCCCCAGCCCTATGATAGAGAGCACACCCATGTCCATCGCCGGAGACGCCACACCTCTGCTGGACGAAATGGACCGATAGGACCAGGATGTGGGTGAGGGGCACTGCCAGAACCCCCCTCACTTTCTTATCCACTGTACTGCTGCTGTTTCATCTGGATAACCCTTCACCCACAGCCTCATAACCATCCAGCTCTATTTGAGTCATTTCACCTTCTGATCTCGTAGCTACAGTTTGACAGTGTGATGTCCTGCTCTCAGGGCATCTCATCCAGAAAGGGCGGTTGCTCCAGCTGCGTAGTATTTTGTATAAGCAAAAACAAATCACTGTATTTATCACGAAGAAAAGGCAGCATAGTGTTAACGAAAGAAAAACAATTCTAATACTAAGTGTCTTTACTATCTTTATTTTTGCAGTTGGTTTTAATTTGATTCCTCGCTGAGGGACACAGTTACAGTTTACACAATTCATGGATTCAATTCATTTATTGCCTGGAATCAGGAGAAATAAAGACTGTCGTTGTTTTTTGTTTCTGTTTGAAACGTGATAGCTTCTGCTCTACACGTCTGACAGCGCAGACACATTTGTGACAACACACACACACACACAGAGACACAGAACATGAGGGTACAGGCTGATTTCATCAACTATCTTTCTGTTTCATGCCTGTTGTATCCACCACGTGCTGTATTATGATGATCTGATGTATTCTGTAAAATAGCCTGTATTGTATTGATGACTTTTCTTTTGAGTTAAATATACTTGGTGGACACCTAACATGTGCCACACCGGAATGAACTCTGGTCTTTTTTGTTTGACTTGATGAGCATGTACGCGAACCTGATGCAGATAAAACGAGCGAGCGTTGTATAGCTGTTCATTTTAACGAAGAATACGTGTCGATACTCGTTTTCCGAAGCAGTCTTCAATGCTTGCAGTTATTTTTAGTAGCTCTTCTGGTTTGATGTTTGCCTCAAAGGTGTGAGTGTCAGCAGTCTGAGACCAAGCCTCTCTGGTCCGGTATATACTGCAAACTTAAGTTCGCGTCCATTTTCTTGAACATTTAGCAGAAGACCCATACTAATCAGACTCCCTCCATTTGTCTATACCCCTAAGTGTCTCATATCGTCGCCTGCATGATGATTTCCGGTCGAGTGAAACTATAAAATCTTTTGTGAATGTCCTGCGTCCGTGGTAGGCCGCTGGATCCTTCTTGAAGTTTGCCGTGAACCGTGTTATTTCTGCTGTGTCGCAGAACAAAAGAGCTCTTCGTTCTGCATTCTGAAACTGTGTCGCAGTTCCAGAATGTACATATATAAATATCGCCTCAATATTGTTTTCTTCTTGTTTTCTGAGTTACTTGCCACGACTCTTGCCACATTAAGGTGTCACATCTTAGTCAGTGACAGGGGACCCGTGATGTTTTGTTTTTTCTACCAGTGATCCCTTTAATAAAAATGTTGGTATTAAACCTGGAAGTTGTGTTTGTGTTCATTTGTGTGACAAATGCACAATGGACACAGGTATTAGAGCCTCAGAATGTAATTTCATTGACTTTTCTTTTGCTTTTTATTTACAGCATTTTTGAGCATTATTGGTTTTTTTGCTTTTTTACAGAAGACAATGTATATTCACCTTCTTGTCATGTTAAACAGAGCAAATAACCCTGAACACTGATTTGGTAAAATAGGTGTGAAAACTCACATCATACTACATTAGATACAACCCAGCCTTTGTCCCTAAATCAGAAAATAATAAGAAATAGAATAATATTTATGTGCAGTACAACACAAGTGGTAACATATGGAGGCTCAAAAATGATTTCCTTCTTTCCGCTGCCAGGAAATCCATTTGGCTCGTCTTTTAGTTGTTGACTCTTTTCCCCCGAAAACAAAAACAATGGCGCCTTTGTGAAGATCATGAGAATCTTGTCTAAAGTGTTGTGGTCATGGGAGCCGGCGTACGCACCACATTAGCAGCAAGGTCACATGACAGGAGTCGAGTGAGGAAAACAAAAATGGTCACTTTATTCACTGGACGGGGAAAATACTCACAGTTGTCTTTAAACAAATGTAGTAAAATGACAAATCTAAAGAAGAAAAAGTCATAATTTTAGGATTTAGTCTTGAGGTTCTGACCAACTTCACAAATGTTAAACCTACAGACAGAGTGATCATATCTACGGGTGACAATAATCCAATATTTTTGCAGTTTATGGAGCAAATGTCTTTGTTTGTGCTCAGTTCTTGGAGTCTGTGATGATCAGACTGAAGTCACGTCGTCATCTTAACGGTTCCGTCTGCAGCTTCGGCCCTTTTCTCTTCAGCAGCAGTTGGATTTCCTCCTGCCTGGATGACTGTTGCCCTCAGTGTTGTCTGTGATTCCTGTGCTCGACACAAATACAAAACAAACAGAATTATTTCATTCGTCTGGCTTTCCCCAATTCAATTCCAATTCGAATATCCCAGAATTATATGCTACAATGACAGAACAAAAATACACAAACGGTAGATGACTCACTGATGATGTCCTGTGCTTTCCTCAAACCGGTCTTCTCAATCTCAGACAAAATAGTAGCCTCAAATGTCAGGGAGGCCACACGGAAGAAGAAATCCCTGATACCGTCCCCTGGAACGGTCGTAACATGAAGGTCATAATGAATTATATTAAAATATATATATACACATAACCTCTATATAGTTTAAAAATCATAAAAGCACAATTGCAGCAGGTTGTAAGTCCGCCTACCACCTGACTTTGCAGACACAGCCCAGTATTCTGCTCTGATTTCCTCTGAGAGTCTGATGGCTTCCTCCTCGATCTGAGCCAACTGCTCAGGAGACTGAGGAGAGAGAAGAGGAAGATATTTTTGGATGATGAAACCTAGTTCTGTCACGTAAACACACGTGTGCTGTCGATGTGCTGAGTCACACAGCCTTTTGTGACATTCAAGTGAATTTCTTTGAATTTTTTAGTCCGACCACAGACCACCTTCCTCTGCCTCACTGGGCAGATACCGAGAGGGAAACCCAGCTGTTTACAAGTCAGTTGAACAGAATGTTCCCATGTAAACTGGTGACTTTAGGCAGACATTAACTCTAATGACGCAGCCTGAGTGACTTTAAACGTCCTCGGGTTGAATGTGGAGTATTTTAAAGAAGAAGAACTTTCTTCTATCTTTCTTGCTCTCCTTGAGCAAAAACAAAGACATAACTATCACAGTCACTGACGTGTGTCACATGGTTTCTCTGCATGACTTTTCTGTGATGTCGTTTGAGCTGTTGTCAATATGTGATGTATATATGGATTTATGTCTGGAGTAGTAGACATTCAAATTAGAGTTGTTTATTTATTCATGACACTAAGTCATAGACATAAACAACATGACCTGGCCATCACCTAATCAAAACACACATTAGAATCATTAGGAGAAAACACAGTAGGGTCACATGCAGCAAGATCTCACATTTAATTTGATCACATTTTGTGTGTTTTTATAATTGTATCTGTCATTTTATCTCACACTTAAATCCTTCTTGGTACCAACTAGGAAGAGTAAAACACTGGACGGGTCATTGTCCTGCATAGCGTCCTCTAACCACTGCCTACACACACACACACACACACACAAAGAGACAGAGGAAGTCAGGAAAAAAAGTCAGTTAGAGTTCTTGAAATTTGAAATTTGACAGAGAAATCCCGAGTCTTACCTGGCATGGGTCAGTGAGGTCACACTGCTCAGGTCAAACACCACCATGATGGCTGGAGAAATGCATAGAGAGAGAAAACTCAATACTGTGACAAGGTTTCAAACCTGAGAAGATGAAAAAAAAAATACTGAGAAAAAAAAGTAGAAGCGGAGCGGCTCTCACCTTGTGCTCCTCTGTAATAAGTGGAAGCGATGCATTTGAATCGTTCCTGACCTGCTGTGTCCCACCTGAAAGACGACAAACTCTAATGTCAATGTACAATTTATGAAAATATCCTAAAGATCTAAAGCAGAAAAACGTATATATTATGGAAAAATGTATAGACATAAACCACACTGTAGAAAAGTGATTAGGGATCTTGCCTTACAGCACAAAAATCATCGGTTTGATCCCTTTTCAAGTACTCATCTTTACTCCCACACTCCAAAAACATGCAGTGTCGGGTTATTTTTTTTAATTATCTTAACTCCATAACCATCTTCTGCCCAAACAGAGGACAGATGGTCACAGGAAGTGCTTCAAGAAAAGAAATGTTTCGATCCCTTTGATTGGATTTTTTTTTTCTTTCTGGATCAAAGTTTATTTCAAAACATCAATTCAAATATAAAACAAAACATAAAGAAGAAAGTATAGCCTATAAATACTTACAACTGCAGACTGAAGGGAACGCCCAACACTTCAAAACGCTCCATCTCAAAGTCCACGCCTATCGTCGCTTTGTAGTTCTTATCAAAATCACCTTTACAAAAACTGACAGCAATGAGAAAAATAAGCGTAAATGAAAGTGAACCCGCAGTAAACACTTTTATTTTGTAGTTTCTATTTCTAAAGGTTTACACATTGATGTGGACACACTGTTCAAATCAGGTTAAAAATGACATGTCACCTGTTAATAAGACATGTTTTTCCAACAGAAACGTCTCCCACCACAATGACTTTGGCGATATTAAAGCTGGGAGGAGGAAACAACACAGGAAGTTGTATTACATTGACTGAGTGTCAGATGTATATTAATACTAAACAATAATCTTATGCCAGTACAATGGAGAGCCATCTCATCGACAGATGCAAGCTTTAAAAACATATATGTAGAGATCAATGATGTAGTGTGTTGTACTGTTATCTTACTTCACTGTGTCTGCTCTATGCACCTGACAGAACTCTTCCACCTGTGGATGGAAGCTGCCCTTGGTGTGCAACGCTGCAGCTGGACTGAAGCACTAGAGAAAGAAAGGAGTCATAGAGGAATACTGGTGAAGTCCAGTGTGGCCATGTTTGATATTTTTATAAAAATACTTTGAAAAAATCAATTCGCCATTAAATAAACGTTGATATTTTTATAAAAATACTTTGAAATCAGATTCAGTAAATCAATTCGCCATTAAATAAACAGCTGTGACATTAGATTACCTAAAATACACACAGTTAGATGCACTGACACAGTGTGTACACTGACCTTTGGGAGATTAGTAATATTCCGGTCCTTCTTCACAGGTCGCAACATGCTATCATAGAGGATCTCACACACACACAAACACACTCAGTTCTTCTCTCGGGTCTTTTACCGATTAGACATTTATGATTAAGAATCATAAATGTCTGTTGTTTTTTTTCTGCAACAGAGAACATTTAACATTAGAGTGGACGTTTATATATGCCTTGTTCCTTTCCTGTTCATTTCTATCCTTTCAGAATTTAACATAAAAAATCACATTTATCAGCCCACATCGATGACAACCAAAGGTCACAGTCATTACACTCAATTATTGTTTATATATTGTTTATATCTCCTGTCAACCAAACGGAGTCAGTATATGATTCATTAAATATAAGCTAGAAAACACTGAGCTAAAAAAAGTAAGCCAAGGTTTAAAAACCGTGCGTTAAATTATGACCACTTCATTAACATCCGTAAAATAGCAATACAATTTTACCTTACGTTTTACCTTATGATCCAGAATGTTTAAAAAAATGAAGAATTAGAAGTCAGACGTCCACGTCTAAAAATATGATGTTAATGAAGAGAAAAGTTTCCACTCAATAACGCTTCGTTTCAAGACCAGCACACAGAGAGATATCTTAAACCAACCGTTTAACGGTAAAACAGCGACACGTTGTGGTCACAGACTATTATCAATCTATTTTTTTTGTTCAGATTTTCATCAGGCTTAAAACTGGTGTCGTCCAAAGCTCAGCAATGTACAATTGCAGTAAAAAAAGAGTTAAAAACAAAACAAGATGCGAAATACACAGAAAGTGCTCGTAGTCCTCATTATTATCTTAATTATCATAATTAAAGTAGTAGTAGTATTAGTAGGAAAGGAAAGCAAAGTGAACTACCTGTCATTGTGACACAGATCACCACTGCACACAACCCCTGCAGCACACACTTTTGTGCAACAGAAAGGCCAAATCAAAAGCTGTCTGTGTAAGTTCCAAAAACTAGTTACATCGAGGGCAAAGTAGTTTTTAAAAGACGTTTCACCTCTCATCCAAGAGGTGAAGGGAACTCCCAAGGGATTAATAAAGTGCTATCTGTCTATCTCTGTATCTTTCTATCTAGTAGTACTAATAGTAGTAGTAGTATAGTAATAGTAGTAGTAGTAACTGTAATGTACTATTTATCACGTGATGTATGTTACTCATCGGTAGTATGAAATTATTTTATACATACAAGATACAATATGCAATGCAGTAGGAAACACATTACATATTTTATGTGGTTAATATCGTAAAGAAAACCGAAGGAAAGCGTCAATGCATGAGAAAAGAAATAGGTCAAAAAGGCAAAATGTCATTCTGTATATTCTATATATTCGTTGAAAAAAGCGCCTGCTAAATCTAATGTAATGTATTGTAATGTTTACTGGAAGCTGCAGTTTATCTTCCGTGACTATAGGTGGTGTTTTAAGTTGCAGAATATCGGTTCATCATGTGACGCAGACGTTATGACGTGTAACTCCAGCGACTGCGGGTTTAATATAAAAAGAGGCCGAACACGCTTCCTCTCTCTTTTTGCAGCGAGGTTGTGTTCCTGCTGAGGTCTATGCTTTGAAACATCCCTCGTTAATTGTTGTTATACAACTTTAAACAACACAGCGAAACGTTAGCTAGACACAAGTGCACGTAAAGTTTGTGTGATTAGCGTGGATCTGCTTAGGTTAGAATGTGTCCTAAGGAAAGGCCCCAAGAAGCCACGTGGCCCGAGACCGATCCGCCAAGAAAAAAACGACATGGGTGAGTTTTATTTTTTACATCAATAGTATTTTCCTGTAATTAAATGAACACCCCATATTCATGATTGATGTCGCTTGCCAATAAATGAATCTTTAAATTGTTTTCTCGGTACGCTAAGATTATTAGAGGTACAATTGTATAATTGTACACTTAATTACTACAGATGTCCAGAAATGTACCCGTCTTTAAACAGTTTCAATGAGAATAAATTCCTTTCAAACATTTGTCGCTTGTCCATAGGTGGACCATGCACCCATTTAAATGAGCTTTCACCGGGGCCACCTGACCTCCCCTCAGGCCCTAAGGTGAGTAGGATTTTCTACTTTTTTTTTATTTTTGTTTATCTGTCTGTGATGAAAACTGTGAATAGGAAGTGCCGTCTGATGCGATAACTGACGATGTTTCTCGATCACTGTTCTGAGCCTTAATTGGTTTAGTATTGTTTGTTATATAAGAAAACAAGAACTCTAATTGTGCGATCTCTACAAACAGGTCTGAATCACCACAATGAAGAAGGCCAGGCACACTGCTCATCATTGCCCTGCTGACACATTCACTACAGGTGAGATTCCTTTAGCGTGTCATTTCGATGTGCACCGCCAGGCAGCAGTGATGAAACCTAAACTGAAATAGCTGGAATTACCGTCAGATTGTTCAGTGGTGATCATTGGTTTTCTGAGCATGCAGGAGTTGCTTTTCTGAATTGCTGTTCATGTGCTACCAGAGTTTATAGTTTCGATTTTAATTCACCAGATTGACACAATTTCAGAGGCAGCTTAAAAAAAAACAAGGTGGCAATGACTGACCTGGTGGGGCAGCGACTTCAACCTGTCATCACATCCTTGTGTAAGTAACAATTGCTGTAACTCTGAATACATGGTTAGTTTGCAAACATTGGATGGTGTTATTTATGCTTAAAATGTGAAATCTTGAATTTTATTTCCCTTGCTTTTGTTAAAGTGCTGTTGGTTCTGCTATCTTTAAAATGCTGTCCTTTGTGTAGTAAAATGCTGATCTGGTAAAAACTTTTACAATGAAATAATCAATGATGAGAACCTGGAATATGAAGTGCCGTCAGATGCGACAACTGATGATAATGTTCTAATCCTCTTTTCTGAGACCCTACAATTTATTTTTGAAAAAATGAAGTTAATACCACACATCCTCATTACAGATTGGAGTTCTTTCCTGCAACTGTCACTGTGGTCACAAGCCAACAGGTATGGCCGCCTTGATGCTATATAATGCCCCTTAATTATGTTGTGATGAAACCTAAACTGAAATAGCTGGAATTACCGGCAGATTGTTCAGTGGTGAAAACAGTTTTCTGAATGTTAAGATTGAAGAGTCAACCTCTTGATATAAACAGAAGCATTTTTTTAGAGCTCTTTCTTTGTCCTTTAGAACTGGATCCACATGACTCCTACTCTGGCCCAGATCTGAAGGTTGTGTTGATGACAACAACTAACCTGAAAAATAAAATCTTATAAAATGAATGTCTTGCATTTGCTTTTAATTAAAAAAAAAAAAAAGTCCCATATTTGTCCTACAATGGGGAAATTCAGTGTAAGTCTTTGCAACCCACGCATCCAGCCAGATGAGGCGCTGTTGCCTGTGGTTCCTCTGGTGCTTAAACCTTGCATTGAAAAACTTGTCTTGTAATCATGTGGTCAAGATGCCATCATTCAGGATAATGTAGTGTTAAATGTGAGGTTGATCTCTGGCTCCAGTGTTGAGTACCTGGGCATTGACTGTCTTACATAGGGTCACTGGAACAGTTATCAGAACTACATTGGTGTTTTAAAATGAACTGCTTTTCATGGCACTGATTTGGATGTGTGTAAAGTTAAATGTTTAGCCTTTAGTACACAATCACTGTCCAGTTGCCTATTAAACACTAATGAAACGGCTGTGTAGTTGAAGTTGACATTCACAGGTCACTGTCAGAACTCACATCGTGGCCATGAAAGATGGCTGACTGAATACATATTCAATACTGATGTCTCCTGAAACCTGACTCCTGTTTCCTGTGACCAATGGGCTTGTTCACTGTTTAAGGTTGCTGTGTTTTAAGTTACTACAGTGAATTAGTAAGGAATGTTGGTGTCACATGTTCAGGGTTTCCAGAAGGCTGTCTTGTTTTAAAATGGTTATACATTTTCTACTGATCACTAGATACTTGATTAAGTTATGACAAGGACTAGAATGGTCTTACAGGTGTCCTGGCACACCACTGTGTGAATAGAGTTTGTTATGCCACATCCTCCTGTACTCCACCTCCCTCCATATAAATGATGACATGGTTCAACAGCTTTCTGCTGCAAATGGAATGGAAGAAAGGTTTTTCATGGCTGGATTTCACAAACATAAATGCAATCAGACTCAAATGCAATGTTAAGATGTGTCCAATGCTGATGAATAACAAATGACTTTAAAACCTCTGCTTTCCTGACGTGTCTTTAAGTTGTGTGTAATATGAGTAGTTTGAGAACGCCTAAGGCTTTGCGTGAAGCAAATATTTTTCCACCCTATGTAGCCGAACCGTGTTATTTACCTGCACTGTCATCCTCTGCTTCTGTCTACACTGGAATGTCACAGTGCTACTAGTTCTAACTAGTTTAACAGCGTAACATACAATTTTCTAAAGAAATGCAGTATTTCCAGCCAATAGTGATCTCTGTACGTTCCTGTTGAGATAAGACTAAAAAGAATCTGATGGGCTTATTTTGTTGAGATTAAAATTAGCCATGAATTTAAAAATTGTTGGCTTAAAATGGCTTGATGGAAATGTTTTACCGAATATGCCTTTTATTTTTTAATCAAACCTTTTATATGATGTTTAAAGTGAACATTGAGTTTTAAAAATATTTTTGAAAAGCATAAACCCATCTGACAACTGCAGAGTTGTATGAAGTACTTTCTAAACGATCTAAAAAATAAGATGAACTTTTTACATACACTTTAAACCAATATCATATTTATGAATTCTTGTGTTCACAGTAAAGATGTATGACAAACTCCACTGGTATTGTTGTTCATGTGCAGTTACCACCAATAAGCAGTTACCACTTGTAGAGTCTGGTTTGACCAGTGAGAATGTGTATAGTTTCTTTCATCATATGACAAATGTAAATTGCTGTGTTCACATCAAGTGTTACCCAGTTCTCTTTCTTTACTAGACTTCACATTTCAGTCAGTTCTATTTAATACTGCAGAGAGGTATGGACGGTTAAATTGCTCATGTTGAAACAGGCTCTTGCATGAACAGGTTTTTCTCTACGACCCACCTTACATTAAAGAGAAATTCTGAAGGTGGGGGAGAACAGTCCGAGACTGTCTGCGATGAAATAACAACCTGTAGCAACAGCAGTAAAAATGACAAAGTCACATTAAATGCTGCCCTTGCCCTTTGATGGTTGTTATTGCCTCTAGTTTTCCTGTGATCCCTAAAAAGTGTTGCTTTAAAAATCACTTTCTGTTTTCTCATTGCATGTTTTCTTCCTCACCTGTAAAATTCTCAATGCACTGATGCATCTCTATACCATTGTCTCCCACCTCAGTGACTTAATCTATCTATCGATCAGTTGATCGGTCAGTTGGTCTATCTGTCTCTCTGTCTATATATATTATATCTATATATACCAATAATATGCTTTCAAAGTCAACCATTCTTCCTCAGGTGGCCTTTAGCAGACACTGGTGTGAATGTATTGTCTTCTCTCAGAGTCCGGTTCTGCCCAGGGCTAAAAGTCTGTTTTCACACTGTAATTGTTTGCCTGAGCAAAGTTATTTAGTGGTAAAATATTAAAACCTTCTTTTAATATTTAAAAACTGTTTTTCACAGTGTTGGGCTCAATCTTATTCAGCTTCTTAATGGCACTTGTTTGTCTGGTTTTTGGCACTGACTTTTTCTTTAGAATTCTGCTTGTCGCAGTCCTTCTCTGATAAGTGCAGCTCAAATTTCGACCTAGTTGTCAACTGAAAGATAAACCCATTCTTTTGTTTTCTTTCAGAGCCCTTTTTGTCTAGAAACACTATTGTGGCTAGCTTTTTTAAAGGTAGGTCTTGATTGTGTGCGTGACAGTTCTCACTTGGTGTGGTACAGGCTGATCTAATCCTTCTCTGCCATTTTTAATGTAAAGAGCTGTCAGGTTTATTCTAACATATATGACGACAAAGTAATAACACAAAAGACATCTTGATTTTTTTACTTGCAAGGGGAGAGTGCAGCTTACTCTTCTGGCAGCTTCCTCATCAACTCTGAGTAGCCACACCCTTCCTCTGCACTTTTATTGAGTTTATAAAAGTAAGAAGGTGGGTGTGAATGGGATGTGGCTGTATCTGGTAATATCAGTCTTGAGCACACTAGATTATAATATGAGAAGCAAACAGTTTCTTAAAGTGACTGTACAGCATGAAGCAATGATAATAAATTAAGTTCTTCCAACAAGAGCACAGAACACCAACTATCTTCATGCTGTGTACTTGTTAAAGAATAAACAGAGAATAAAAAAAAACCCATCAAACTTGTGCTTTCATTCTTGAATATTCTTTGGGTGAAATGTACCTTTTTTGTGTGATACTTCTTCTCATAGCGGATGTGTGTCAACACAGTCTGCTGCCCCTCCTTTGCTCTCAAAGCCACAAGGCAAAAGTAACTTTGCATGTCCAACAGGTTTTGTAAAAAACATTTTGAACTGTCTTTTACAAATCCTTTGTGGGAGGGTCTGGATCCAGCCTATATTAAGGAAGCTGCAGGTTTGTCAGTTCCTCACTTCAGTTCTGTCACTGTCAAGTTTTCTTGCCAACATGTCTGAGAAAAACACCGGTGTTGTCAACCTGCGTTACCGGGATGGCTCTGAGGGGAGTCTCTTTAATCCTGTCAAGTTCAACAACCAGGACTACACACAACTGAAAAACAACCACCTCGAGAGGAACTGCTTGTTTGTGGACAGCACCTTTCCGCCCAACGGCTGCTCTCTCGGAGACTTGCCCTACCTGGATAACTGGGAGGAGGACCATTTGAAATGGCTTCGCCCAGCTGTAAATACAGTTTTTTTTTCTCCATGCATTACATAAATATTTATCCATATGCATTATTTGGTTACATTCTTATAATTTTGGGTTCTCCAGGAAATTATGAAACTGCAAAACATCACTGAAGAGTTGACATTCTGCAAGGAAGGCGCTTCACGCTTTAACGTTTGTCAAGGCTACATCAGTAAGCAAGAACTTCTTATCCAACTCTTTGAAAGTATAAACAAGTGAAATTCTGTGTTTGAGTATTTGTATACATCCATCTCAACAGATAATTCCTGGTTTTTGGCTGCACTTTCCTCATTGACCTTCAATCAAACCATGATGAACCAGGTTGTGCCCACGAACCAGTCTTTCCTGGACTATGATTATGCAGGAATATTTCACTTCAGGGTAAATATATAATATTGCAGTAAAGTATTAAAAAAATGACATACTGTACACCCTTTGGTTACCTGACTAATTATACATCCTTTCTGTTTCAGTTTTGGAGGTTTGGCAAGTGGGTGGATGTCGTCATTGATGACTTCCTGCCAATGACGGACAACCATTTGCTCTCTGTGTTTAGCCAAGACGGACACGAGTTCTGGGCAGCTCTGCTGGAGAAAGCATATGCCAAGTATGAGTTATTAAAGTACCTGTACTAAGTATCAAACAATAGAATTAAGATGTCATGACGATTCACATCTTTCCCTGTTCCCTCCAGGGTGTGTGGCTCATATGCTGATATGAACTTTGGATCACCATCAGAAACCTGCAAAGACTTTTCTGGAGGAGTCAGCATGGAATATCTACTCGGTATGGGCCAATCTGAGGGCCATGACGAGCTTTGGGTCTCACTGAGCAGAGCCACAGACTCCATGTCACTGATCTGCTGTGGAACTCCGCAAGGAAAAGTAAAAACAAAAGACAGAAAATATTACAAAAGAAATATAATGTTAAGAAAAGAACACACCACGTTTTAATGATGTCTTTCTTCTCTTGTTTTCATAAGGACAAATTTGAAAAAACTGTCACCTCAAACGGCCTGGTGACCAAACATACCTACTCTGTTACGGCTGTGACTGAGGTATCACTGGTCTTCATTGAAAGAAATGATAACATATTTTGTTAGTGTTAAATAAATTGCTCTATGATACATTTTTTTATGTCCTTGTAAGGTAACGTACCTTGATGCCAAAGTCAGGCTGATTCGACTCTTCAACCCCTGGGGCTCACAGGAGTGGACTGGGAATTGGAGCGACAAGTAAGTAAATCACAATGACACACTACATTTTTTTTTTTTTTTTTTGCTGTTAGCATTTTGCTACTATATCTTTGCTAACTATCTTTGAGCAAGCTTTGTCTTTGTTCAGTGATTTAAGTTTTTCTTTTGTACTCAGGTCAGACTTGTGGGACAGTGTGAGTCCTGAAGATCAGCAGAAGCGTCTCAACCGCAGTGATGGAGAATTCTGGTAAATTGAATAGAATTATATGACACTTGGTGATGATAGCATGGTCATTTTTATTTCAAGATTTAAAAAACAAAGAACATGTAACTACTGTCCCTCCCAGGAGGTGGTGCTATTAACCTATTTTAAAACCATGTTCAATGAGTTGTGTTAATGGCTACAATATTAGATTATAAAATGCAATAAATAAAACTGTTTTTAAAAAAGCCTCACCTAGTTAAAATGTCAAATGCTTCTGTAATTAATTTGTCTGCTGTGAGGATATAACTTGTGGCTATAAGAGCAGTACTCCTTTAACAAATTCTGTGGCGGTTAGTGGATTAGATACATTGGATGTGAATCATGAATTAAAAATGTCACACAATTTTTGTACCAGTTTGAATATTACTCATACGACTTAGTTTTCTCCAAGGATAAGATAGAGTTCTGCCACCTACTGGTTGTACTTTCTAATAGCATGTCAGCCCCTATTGCTACCATTTTGTTTTTGTGACCCAACAAATTTGACCGAGAATATTCATTGTATGTAATTTGCTAGTTTCTTTTCAAACTGTATGTTTAAAGTTCATCTATTTTAACTTTGGTTGCACTGCCAATTTTCATGCTGATCTTTTTATCCATGTTGTTTTTTCTTGTCTTTTGTCCGTCTGATTGTGGTCGTTTTGGTCTGACAGGATGGAGTTGAAGGACTTTTGTCAGTTTTTTAATATTTTGTCCATTTCTTCTGAAAACCCCAATTTTATTGATGGTGACGTTAACTGTCAGTGGGAGTGCATGATCTATGAGGGCAGCTGGGTGGCAGGGAAGTCTGCAGGTGGTGCCATGCAAGGCAGTGAGTCATAATCCTAATTTTGTCAATATTTGCAAAGGTCAAAATGTTTGATAAGCACGCTCTCTTAATTTATTGAATCTTTTTCTTGTAGTCTCGTTTGAGACCAACCCTCAGTATCGTATCCAGGTGACTACCAGAGATGAACAGAAGCCAGGAGACAAAAACCTACTGATTTCTCTGATTCAAAAAGGTTCAAATCGCAAATATACACGTTACTACCCCATCGCAGTGACCATCGTCAAGGTCTGCCTTCTGATATTCTAAAGATTTGTTAACTTCTGACATTTTACAAAACTGACCACTTTCATAATAACTTGTTTCTCTCCGTTTTTACCTCCGGCAGGTTCCACCTGGGGTAAGGACCATTTAAATATCAAAGAGTTAGACTTTAAATTAATTTTATTCCATTTGAAAATACTTGTTCTCCTTTTTCTAACTTCTAGACCCCAGAGGGATGGTTGGAGCTCCCCTTCTTCTATCAAAATGAGTCGTTGAAAAAACACAACAATTACTTTATTAATAGAGAACTGGTTGAGTTGTACAGTGTGGAGCCCGGAGAGTATGTGATTGTTCACTACACCGAAGTGATTCACATGGCCGCAGACTTTGTTCTCACCATTCACACCAAAGATGAGGCTAAAATCAGGTAAACACGTTTACTGACATATTTCCACATTTGTTCTACAGTTCCACCTCTGTCACCTTTAACCAGAGTAGAAATTGTTTACTGTAACAATTTCAACCTCCACATCTTCTTCCAACTTCAGTCTTCTTTAATCAGTGCTCTTGAAAGTCTCCTTACTGTTCCAAGGACAGCGATCCTGTGGGCACAGACGTCAGATTTTGAGGAGCCACTCTCTCAGTCTCTGTCTCTGACCACTGCATCTTTGTCTTTTTTCTCGATTTTCTATTATCCCTCCAGCTTGACAATGCAATAAGAAGTATGGGAAGCAGGGCTTCTCAATAATGATTGACTGAACTGTTTAAGTGTCAGAACAATTTTTTTTATAATCATATCACTGTTGAAAAATGCACCAAAACTTCTTCATTTCAGTCTCATGCAAGTTTGTCATAACTGGCCAATCCTGTTTGTACGTATATACTGTTAATAAAGATACCTAGCTTTTTACGCTAATACTCTTGTTCTCTGATTTTTAGTGTCTGGGAGAAGAATTGCACACTCGAGAAACGATTGGTATGAGTAAAAAAAAAGTTTTTATTGTAAGTGAGAGAGAGAGAGAGAGAGATACTACTCTTTATGTCTTTCAGACTTCCGCCGTGTCCACTGATGACGAGGACTTTAATGCCTTGTTCAAACGCTATGCTGATCAGGTGTGTTTTTTCTCCTCTTACTTCGAGTCCTGACATAAATGTAAACAGTTTGACATTTTTCTATCTGTTCCCAGAACGGTGAGCTTGATAAAGTCCAGCTTCAGAAGATTCTCAATGAAAACTTCCCTCACGGTCAGTTGAGTATATTTATGCCATCTCAATTGTGTAAAAAATCCAAACCTCACACATTTTGGATAACGTGACAATAATAGAATGTGTTTCTGTAATTTCATAACTATTCCGTGTTGTTTGGATCCACAGGGAGCATGGACGGCTTTAGCTTGGATGTTTGCAGGAGCATGAGCGCACTGGTGGACGTATCCTCTAACACAGTGGTTCTCAAACTGTGGTACACGGGGAAAAATCATATTTTCGCATTTACATTTTCAATTGAATAAATCTGAAACATACCGTGCACAATTAATACAACATTTAAACATAAACATCTCTTTAAACATTTCTAAACATCTCTCCTGTGGTGAAAGCTAATAGGGAAGGCCTATGCTGCTATATTCTAATGTCATCATGGTGGTACTCAGAGATCAAGGTTTTCTCAGGTGGTACAGAGTAGAAAAAGTTTGAGAACCACTGTTCTAACAAACAAATCTCATTTTAATTCACATCCAATGGAATGAAAATGAAATCAGAACATTGTTTGACTTGTTTTATCCTGCTGATGAATCTTCCTTAAACATATATAAAGGATGATGGCAAAATGACAGTGACGATCACCGAATTCCACGCTCTCTGGAAAAAGATGTTGGAGTATAAGGTAATGTTGGGGAAATAGGGTTAATGAGAAAAACATTATTTAGTTACATAGTTGAGCACTTCTCTGTTTTTGCAAACATTATTTGTGCATTTAAATGCAAGACAAAAAAGGCATTTGTTGCCTTTACTTTGTCTCATTCCTGTTAAACCAATATTTCAGCATAAACTCTCAGCTACAATTTTTTTATATTAGTTTCATATCATAACCGTTGTTTTAATTTCAAATTGATGATACTCTCTTCTGCAGAAAATGTTCCACAGTCAGGATTTGAGCAACAATGGCACCCTCTCTGAATATGAGCTCAAAATTGCTATTCAGTCTGCAGGTAACGTAATATCTGTATTTGAATCAAAATAAAAATATAAGTGAGGAGTCATTTATCATACTTAAAATTGTAACATTCTTCTGTCTTCACTAGGGATTGATGTGGACAGCTCAGCTGTGAAGAGGCTGATGTATCGATATTCAGACAAAAACACAACCTGCCTTAGGGACTTCATTATCCTCATGATCCGCCTGGAAAAGACAAAAAGTGAGAGATGTGATGTTGATTAGCAACATTTTATGTACACACTTCAAAAAACATCTTTTTTGTGTAGAGATTGAAGTACACATGACCAAGTAAGTCAGTAAATGCAAACGTATCTCACCTGATCCCACCATATTTGGTTGATACAAATTGGTCTGATCCAAAGTTAATTCTGGTTTACTGGAGCAAAGTGAACAAATTGCAGTTCCTGGTTCGTCCACTGTCAAAATACTAATAAAGTATTTTTACCCCTTACAGGTTATTTCAACAAAAAAGAAAAGGATGGAAAAATTGAATTGAACTTGTCAGAGGTAAGGCAATTATTGATCAAATACTTTTTTTAAGTTAAAAACAGAAACGGTGAAAATACTCAAGGTTTTTATTTGTGTTAATTTTCAATTAACACAATAACACAGATACTGTGTGTTAGTGTATTAGCATTGATAACACAATTAACACAGATACATTTTAACTTCTTTCAGTGGACTCAGATGTCGATGAACAGTTGAACCATTTAACATTGGACAGCTCAACTCTGCAAAGCTTCAAGCATTGCTGAATCAGGTTAATCTTTAAAAAAATGGAGGAATGGAATAAATGTTGTTAACCTACAAACTGTGGTGTTTGAGCAATAAATAAACGATACACAGACAACTGTGTACTGGAGTTGAGTGGTTTCATTTTATTTTGTCTCCTTCCAAAACAATCATACATCCTAATCAATCTCCATCATCACAAGTTATATTCTGTATGTTACAACAACACATTTGCGCAGAAAAATTAATTCTTAGAACCATATTATTATTATTACAATTTTATTCCTGATTAAATGAATACTATCCAATCCTCTTTGTGTACTAAAACATGAAAAAGCCCCAGTAGTTCCTAGATGACAGTTATTAAAACAGAAGAATACTGAAAACCTCAAGTCACTGTTATGTACATTGATCTATAGCTGAAAATCTACCAAATGAATATGAATCCAGAGCAGATGAGAAGTTTGAATTGCAGGCAGTAAAGAAAGCAACTCTTAAGGTGAATTTTTTTTGGGAACATGAAATATTAGCTTTATCTAAAGAGGAACCAGGGTTGTATTTAGCCACGTCTTGTATGCAGGACAGTATTCAGTCCTCTTCCTTCTCGATGTAGCTCTTATTTGTTACACGTGTCATCTGTCTGGCCAAGTACCTTTCTCTGGCTGAGCTTACAGTCTGGTCTGTGCTGCGTTTTGCAAATTTATTCACTTTTACCTCCTGTCCCGGATCTTGGGCTTGTTCTATGTCTTGTTTTTCTACATCTTTGCTAGTCCCTGCCTCAGCCTTCTCTGCCTCCTTCTTTTCTTCTTCCTGTTGTATATCCTCCTGC